TCAATAGAATTTGGGCTTAATCTGTAATGTTATATTTCTTTAAAGAAAGATCTCCAAATAATCATAGGAACAAGGGGAAAAAAAAGTTGGAAGCATCTAACAGTGTTATTAGCCATTAATTCTGGGTGGCAGAAAATTATTACATGAGAAGAGAGTGCTACAGATCTATATAAACTAATAAGGAAAGATCTCTAAGATTTTTTTTTAAATAATTTTTTTAAGTGGAAAAAAGCAGGGTATAGTATCTTGGTTTAAAAATAAGTATGGGAACAAATGATTGTACATACGGTCATAAAATATCTCAGGAACACAGGAACTTTTTAAACAGAGGTTCAAAACAGTGTGGGAAGTTACTCCTAATTGCCTGAATTAACAGAGTGTTAATTCAGAGGCACAGTGGCTCACGCCTGTAATACCAGCACTTTGGGAGGCCAAGGTGGGCAGATCACCTGAGGTTAGGCGCTCGAGACCAGCCTGGCCAACAGGGTGAAACCCCGTCTCTATGAAAAACACAAAAATTAGCTGGGTATGGTGTTAGTAGGCACCTGTTATCCCAGCTACTTGGAAGGCTGAGGCAAGAGAATCACTTCGCCTGGAAGGCAAAAGCTGTAGTGAGCCAAGATCTCGCCATTGCCCTCCAGCCTGGGCAACAACAGCAAAAACTCTGTCTCAAAAAAAAAAATCGGCTGGGCATGGTGGCTCATTTTGTAATCCCCACACTTTAGTAGGCTGAGGCGACGGATCAACTGAGCCCAGGGGTTCAAGTCCAGCCTAGGAAAAATGGTGAGACCCCACCTCTACAAAAATGTAGAACAATTAGCTGGGTGTGGTGAAGCTGAGGTGGAAGGATAGCCTGAGCCTAGGGAGTTAGAGGCTGCAGTGAGCCCTGACTGCATCGCTGAATTCCAGCTAGGGTGACCGAGTGAGACTCTGTCTCAAAAGCAGTGCCTCACACCTGTAATCCTAGCATTTTGGGAGATGGAGACAGGCAGCTTGACTTCAGGAATTCCAGATCAGCCTGAGCAACATGGCAAAACCCCCTCGCTACAAAACATACAAAAAAATTAGCTGGGCATGGTTCTTTGCACCCGTGGTCCCAGCTACTCAGGAGGCTGAGGTGGGAGGATCGTTTGGGCCTGGGAGGTGGATGTTGCAATGAGCTGTACTCCAGCCTGGGCAGCTGAGCAAAAGCCTGTCTTAAAAAAAAAAAAAAAAAAAAAAAAATTCTAGGCAGGGTGTGGTAGCTCATGCTTGTAATCCCAGCACTTTGGGCAGATCACTTGAAGTCAGCAGTTTGAGACCAGCCTGGCTAACATGGCAAAACCCCATCTCTACTAAAAATACAAAAAATTAGCCAGGCGTGGTGGTGGGTGCCTGTAGTCCCAGCCACTTGGGGAGGCTGAGGCACAAGAATCGCGTGAACCCAAGTAAAGTAAGCAGAGAAAGACGTCCACCCTAGGTACAATGCTCATATACATAAGATAAAAAAAAGATCATGGGGAGATGTGCTGTGCTAGAAGGGTTTGTGATGCAGCAGTAATTTTTTAATTACTATATTTTCTAAGAATCGGTATTATCTTTAAAGCAAAATTAGGAATACCTTGGTTCCCCAGATATCAGGGTATCTGGACACTCCCAAGTCTGGGTCTGTTTAGTAAACGTTATTAATTTGTTTCCTTAACTGTAGCATCTAGAGGCTAGGAATGCCTAACTTTTTGGGAATGCAGCCCAGCAATTCCCAGCTTCATTTTCCTAGCGCTCACTCAAGATAGAGTTGCTCTAGTTCCAACGCCTCTGACACAAGGGTGGCTACAAGCAGCAGGTACCCCTAATCCAAATAAGGCAAGGGAGCACTAAGAACAAGATAGGGAGAAAAATCTGTTCATGTCAACCTTGGAGCACTAGTTAAAATATAAGTTTAAAAGCCTGTCCAGGCCCGGTGTGGTGGCTCACACCTGTAATCCCATCACTTTGGGAGCCTGAGGCAGGCAGATCATGAGTTCAAGAGATCGAGACCATCCTGGCCAACATGGTGAAACGCCATCGCTACTAAAAATACAAAAATTAGCCAGGCTCTCCTGTAGTACCTGCTACTCAGGAGGCTGAGGTGGGAGAACTGCTCGAACCCGGGAGGCGGAAATTTCAGTGAGCCAAGATTGCGCCACTGCACTCCAGCCTGGTAGACAGAGTGAGACTCTGTATAGCCCAACACAAATTCATAAACTTCCTTAAAACATTATGAGATTTTTTTTGGTATTTATTTATTTTTAGCTCATCAGCTATTAGTGTATTTCATGTGTGGCCCAAGATAATTCTTCCAATATGGGCTGGGAAGACAAAAGAGTGGACACCCCTAACAGCTGGGAAACTGCTTAGACCACCTAATGGTTTTATACCACAACTGCCTCATCTCTGAGAAGAGCCCTGTGTACCAAGAGATTTAATAGACTACTTTTGGCTGCCCTTTAGGTTAACCAAGGAAGCCATATAGTTACCTCCACCCAAGGCCTTATAAGAAGTTCCTGACACCTACTGCTTGTCACAGAGACGAGAAAGTATGTCCATAGCACTGTTCTTTGTTTTTTCCTCTTTAAATCAGAGCACCAACATTGGTAATATGAACATTTTTGAAACTAAGGTTTTTTGTTTTTTGGGTTTTTTTGAGACAGAGTCTCTCTCTGTCACCCAGAGTTTGATGGGTGCAGTCTCTGCAACTTCCACCTCCTGGGTTCACACGATTCTCGTGCCTCAGCCTCCCCAAGTGGCTGGGACTACAGGCACCTGCCACCACGCCTGGCTAATTTTTTGTATTTTTAGTAGAGATGGGGTTTTGCCATGTTAGCCAGGCTGATCTCAGACTGCTGACTTCAAGTGATCTGCCCAAAGTGCTGGCATTACAAACATGAGCTACCACACCCTGCCTAGAATTTTTTTTTTTTTTATTTTTTTAAAGACAGGGTTTTGCTCAGCTGCCCAGGCTGGAGTACAGCTCATTGCAACATCCACCTCCCAGGCCCAAACGATCCTCCCACCTCAGCCTCCTGAGTAGCTGCGACCACAGGTGCAAAGAACCATGCCCAGCTAATTTTTTCGTATGTTTTGTAGCGAGGGGGTTTTGCCATGTTGCTCAGGCTGATCTGGAATTCCTGAAGTCAAGCTCTGTCTGTGGAGTAGCTAAACTTTCACTACTGTACTTTCTTTTTTTTGAGACAGAGTCTTGCTCTGCCATGCAGTCTGGGGTGCAATGGCACATTCTCAGCTCACTGCAACTCCGACCTCCTGGGTTCAAGCAATTATCCTGCCTCAGTCTCCCAAGTAGCTGGGATTACAGGCATTCGCCACCACTCATGGCTAATTTTTTGTATTTTTAGTAGAGACAGGGTTTCACCATTTTGGTCAGGCTGGTCTTGAACTCCTGATCTCATGATTCGCCCACCTTGGCCCCACAAAGTGCTGGGATTACAGGTGTGAGCCACTGTGCCCAGGCTACTTCACTTTCTTAATAAACCTGCTTTTACTTTGCACTGCAGACTCATCCTGAATGCTTGCTTTCTTTTTTTTGAGACAGAGTCTTGCTCTGTTGCCCAGGTTGGAGTGCAGTAGCGCCATCTCGGTTCCCTGCAACCTCTGCCTCCAGGGTTAAAGTGATTCTCCTGCTTCAGCCTCCCAAGTAGCTGGGACTATGTGTGCACACCACTGCACCTAGCTAATTTTTGTATTTTTGGTAGAGACAAGGTTTTGCCATGTTGGCTAGGCTGGCCTTGAACTCTTGACCTCAGGTGATCCACCCACCTTGGCCTCCCAAAGTGCTGGGATTCCAGGTATGAGCTACTGTGCCTGGTCTCACCCTAAATTCTTTCTTGGATGAGATCCAAGAACCTTCTCGGGGTCTGGATCAGGACCCCTTTCCTGTAACACTTGGACTCTGAAGCACCTGAGAAAAACAGTAAGACAGCTACAATATAAAAACCACGGGGCAGGGTGAGGCGGCTCACACCTGTAATCACAGCACTTTGGGTGGGCGGGTCATGAAGCCAAGAGATCTAGACCATCCTGGCCAACATGGTGAAACCCCATCTCTACTAAAAATACAAAAATTAGCTGGGCGTTAGTCCCAGCCACTCAGGAGGCTGAGGCAGGAGAATCACTTGAACCTGGGAGTCGGAGGTTGCAGTGAGCCAAGACGGCGCCACTGCACTCCAGCCTGGGGGACAGAGCAAGATTCCATCTCAAACAAAACAAAACAAAAAACCACAGGAAGCTGTAGTAAGTTCATAGCTCTGATCCATGTCAAGCATTGCCTGGAAGCCAGGAAGACAGTTGATTTTCAGAACCAACAGATCATGGTGCTATCTTTAGGAAAACAGGAAAGAAAACGCAGGAATGAAACTGGATTTTATGGCAGGTACCTTGCTTTGGGGGAGGGGAAGGACAGGCTGGCAAACAGGCCATGTTAGGGATATTGAAAAGTCTTAGCTGGGTGTGGTGACTCATGCCTGTAATTCTAGCACTTTGGGAAACCAAGGTGGGTGGATCACTTGAGGTCAGGAGTTCGAGACCAGCCTGGCCAACATGGTGAAACCCCATCTCTACTAAAAATACAAAAACTAGCCAGGTGTGGTGGCACATGCCTGTAATCCCAGCTACTCAGGAGGCTGAGGCAGAAGAATCGCTTGAACCTGGGAGGCAGAGGTTACAGTGAGCCAAGATTGTACCCCTGCACGCCAGCCTAGGTGACAGAGAGAGACTCGGTCTCAAAACAAACAAAGAGTATATCTTTCTCCAACAAACAATTTGATTTTGGAATACTGTATGACAAAAGTTATGTGGCTCTTCTCCCTGCACCTGTTCTGAACCCTGCCTCTCCCAATTCTTCTACCTAGCACAAAGGTTTGGACATTAAAGAGACAGAGGCTGCAGTATCTCCAGGCACACCTTTTGACAGGCACCATCCTGTATTAATTCACCTCCACACTGTATGGAAACAATCTCATACTTACTGATATTCTGCCACACAGTCCAGCAGACCTATATAGTTTAAGGTTTCATGTTGAACAGCACTTTCAAGAGCTCGCACTCCACTGACATCTTTCAGAATATGCTGAACACTTTCGATGTAACCAGACTTGAGGAGATTTTCATCTCTCTCTTTTAAGGTTTCCTGGGGTGAAAGTATGCTTTCCAAGGCTTCATGGAACTGTTTCCCTTGTAAAAAGATGTCTGAAAAGAAAATCAGGGGAAAGGGAAGGGGGAAACACAAACAACACTAACACTAAAAAACAAGTACTCTAAAACGCTCTGAACAATACAATTAAAAATTAATTAGTTTTAAACCATGTTCTCATGAAAAACAAACAAGCAGAAAAATTATTTCTTTTTTTTTTTTTCTCAAGTCCAGGTACACTTAATAGTTATTTATTTCTAAGTGAAATCCCTAAGACCAAATTTCAGCCTCTTGTGAAACATAATATACTTTGAGAACCAAAGGGATTATTAATACAATCATTAGGCAATAAAATGAATTAAAATTAAGTATTTCTAGGAGAATTAGGCCAAAGTCAGAACTGAAGATCTGGAGGCTACAGGACCACACCCAGTTTATGGTACTATGTGTTTAAGTACCCAATTTAATAAGTTAACTGGCTGTGATTAAAAAAAAAAATCATTAGAAATTAGGGAACTGTGCTTCTGTTTACAGTTCTTTTTAGACCAAATCTTAATTATGAACATAGGTGGGGGGATCCTTTTACTAACAGGATTAGTGACAAGCAAGGAATGGAAAATAAGGCACGCAAAAAGGAAAATTAATGAATTGAATATTGTGGAATTTGGAGGGGGAGGAAGAGGAAAATATGTGACATTCTTCTGCTATACTTTTTTTGAGCGTTGGAACAGCCTGAAAAATTCAGCTGCATCCCCCAATTTTTTCCCTCATATGCTTTTTTAAATTCTAACATTTAATATTTAACATGTAATATTTTTATAATTAGTCTTAGATTACTAGGATTCTGATGTATGGCTTGTAAGAGGATACATTTTCCCTCTCCCTAACATTTTGTAATATGTGAACACAAGAGATATTTCATTAACCAAAAGGACACATTCTTTTTCCCGTATGTTCATTTTCGGAGGTCCAAGCTTTACTTTTTGTCCCCAGGTTCTCTGAAAGAACTGCAGTGTCTGGATTTGTCAGCACATCCCAGGATCTAACTTGATTTTTGAACCCTCTCCTCATTTTCAGCGCTCCTTGGCCTCCAAGTGTTTGCATAGTTAAGCCCTTTCCTTGTATACATTTTAAAAAATGGGAACATAGCCTGGCGTGGTGGCTCACGCCTGTAATCCAAGCATTTTGTAGGCCAAGGCGGGCGGATCACCTGAGGTTGAGAGTTCAAGACCAGCCTGACCAACATGGTGAAACCCCGTCTTAAAAAAGAAAAAAAAAATACAAAAATTAGCTGGGCATGGTGGCGTGCACCTGTAGGCCCAGCTACTAGGGAGGCTGAGGCAGAAGAATTGCTTGAACCTGGGAGGCAGAGGTTGCAGTGAGCCGATCACAGCACTGCACTCCAGCCTGGCGCCTGGCAACAGAGCAAGACTCTGTCT